TTCACTCCCTTGCGGGTAACTACGTCTCGCCGAGTCCTAAACTCGGAATCCACTAGTTTATAAGAGAGAATACAAACACTAGGAGTTACAAGCGATCCACTCTAATGCCCTTCACTAGCACTTAGAGCACACTTCGTAACACCTATTTAACAAGAAGAAAACGATACAAGTTTATACTTAAAGCTTTCTCTTTTTTTCTCTACTCTCAAGCAATTTTATGACTTGCTTCAACACCTCTCTCTTCTCATCATTGCAGTCTCTTTATAGTGACATCTTCTTAGGGCTTCCTCGGATGATGCCAAACTCTCATCCACAGCTGTTATTAGTACTAATATACTAACGTGTGCAAGGCCACAATACCACCTAATGACTGTCAATAACTAACCGTTGCAGACCCCAATTTTGTAGTATTCAACTGCAACAATAAGTGGTCCCAAAAGCAGCTTATTCTTAACTCTAGTCTCATTAACTTGACTTAAGTTCTAACCATAAGTAGTCCTTGTTGGCACATTCAAATGTTGCTTGTTCACCAGGTTAACAACTTCATAGCAATTTCATTATTTTGGTGGGAAAATGAAATTTTAGGTTTAACGAAAAAATAAATTTTTTGGTTTTGGTGGGAATAGGCAATTTCTCAGTTTCATGGAAAAATGAAGTTTTTTTTTTTGTTTTGAAGGCGATTTTTCGATTTACGTAAGACAGATGAAATTTCTATGTGCTAAATTTCCAATTTAAAGTATGTTGACAGTATCCAAAATTTAATTACTTAACTTAAATTAAAAAGATATTTTAATGGTTCAAACAGAATTTTCTATTTAGTTACAAAACAATAACAATGTTTTGATATGAATGTTATTGATTATAGTTTGATAGTTTTAGAAACATATGTTTATAATAAATATTTGATACATAAAACAAAATTATATTTCAAAATAATCATATTAATTAATAAAACTTTTTTAAAATGATATTTTGCTTTATATAATTACAAAGGAGGATTTAGTGGCAATTTATTAGAGAAAATAGATTACATTTGCAATTAGCATGAAAGTACTTAAAAATGTATTGCTTTATTCTTACACATACATTTATAGTTAGTTAGCTAAACAAATTTCATAACAAACTATAATTTTGAAAAATAATAATATCAAGGATATACAATGTTTATTTAGATTTAAAACATAAGCTAATAAAAAATAAATATAATACTAATTTACATTATAAAAACAATTTTTTGATGGGCAACACAATTTTCTGTTTTTGATAGATAATGCGATTTCTTGATTTTCGCACGAAAATACAATTTCACAGTTTTGCAGAAAACTGCAATTTAACAATTTTGGCGGAAAAATGCAATTTCTCATTTTTGTTAGAAAAACACGATTTCACGGTTTGATGAGAAAACAATTTTTTTTGGTTTTGGCGAGAATAGGGAATTTCTCTGTTTTGCCGAGAATAGGAGATTTCTTGGTTTCGGTAGGAAAATGTGATTTTCAGTTTTGTTAGCAATACATAATTTCTCGTTTGTGGCAGAAAAAACGAATTCTCCGATTTGGCAAGAAAATGTGAATTTTTTGTTTTGGTGAAAAAACAAAAAAAAAAATTACTTTGACGGAAAAACAAAATATCTTATTTTTGAGGGAAAAATGCTCGGTTTTGATAAGAAATGCAACAATTCGATTCTCACAAAAATGTGATTTCTCAGTTTTAATAAGAAATGCAAATTTTTAACTTTTGATGGATGATGCGATTTCTTGGTTTTCGTGCAAACATGTTTTTTTTTAGTTTTCGCAAAAAATTGAAATTTGATGATTTTGGCGGAAAATGCAATTTCTCGGTTTGTTGGGAAAACAAATTTCTCGATTTTGGCCGGAATAAACAATTTCTTAGTTTAGATGGGAAATGCAAATTTTCAGTTTTTGACGAATAATGTGATTTTTTTTGTTTTCGCAGGAAAATGCAATTTCTTAGTTTTCACTGGAAAACACAATTTATCGGGAGATAGTGCAATTTTTGGTTTTTGAAGAAAAATTGTAGTTTATTTCTTTTAATAGGAAAGCGTGATTCTTTGTTCGACGAGAAAATGAATTTTGGGTTTTGGCGGCAGGAATAGAGATTTCTCAGTTTTTGCAGGAAAATAATTTTTTTTGGTTTTGACGGGAAAATATGTTTTTTTTTGTTTTTGCAGGAAGATGAAATTTTTTGATTTTGGTGAAAAAACATGATTTTTTTTGGTTTTGGCGAGAAAACACAGGTTCTCGCGGAAAAATGAAATTTTAGGTTTTAGGTTTGACGAGAAAATGAATTTTTTGGTTTTGGCGAGAATAAGCGCTTTCTCAGTTTCATGGAAAAATGAAGTTTTTTGGTTTTGATGGGAAATACGATTTCTTGGTTTTTGTAAGAAGATAAAATTTCTCTGTGCTAAATTTCCAAGTTAAAGTATGTTGACAATAACCAAAATTTAATTATTTAACTTCAACTAAAACGATATTTCAACAGTTCAAACAAAATTTTCTATTTAGTTCTAAAATATTAGCAATGATTTTGATATGAATGTTATTGATTATAGTTTGGTAGTTTTAGAAACATATATTTATAATAAATATTTGATAAATAAATAAATTTTATAATTCAAGATAATTATATTAATTAATAAATATATTTATTAAATGGCATTTTGCTACATATCAAGTGACAATTTGTTGGAGAAAATAGATTACATTTGCCATTACCATGACGCTACTAAAAAATATATTGCTTTATTCTTAAATATACATATATAATTAGTTAGCTAAACAAATTTAATAACAAATTATAATTTCAAAAAATAAAAAATCTGAGGATATACAATGTTTATACTTTATTCAAATTAAAAACATATAAATACATAAGTTAAGCTAATAAACAAAAAAATATTATACTCATTTACATTATAAAAATAATTTTATTATATTAAAAATATATACAAAATCAAGAAAAACATCTTGCAACAGGAATAGGGAATTTCTCTCTTTTGCCGGAAATAGAGGATTTCTTGGTTTCGGTAGGAAAATATGATTTTTAGTTTTGGTAGTTAAACATAATTTCTCGGTTATAGTGGAAATAGCAAATTCTCGGATTTGGCGAGAAAATGTGAATTTTTGGTTTTGGTAAAAGAACAAAAAAAAATTAATTTTGACGTAAAAACAAAATATCTTAGTTTTGACGGGGAAAAGCTCGGTTTTGATGAGAAATGCAACTTTTCAATTTTGACAAAAATGCTATTTCTCAGTTTTAACAGAAAATGCAAATTTTTGGCTTATGGATAATGCGATTTCTTCGTTTTCACGCAAAAATGTGATTTTTTAGTTTTCGCCGAAAATTGGAATTAGACGATTTTTGTGGGAAATGCAATTTCTCGGTTTATGGGAAAACAAAATTTCTCGATTTTGACTGGAATAAGCGATTTCTTGGTTTAGATGAGAAATAAAAATTTTCAGTTCTTGACGAATAATGTGATTTTTTTTGTTTTCGCAGAAAAATATAATTTCTTAGTTTTCACGGGAAAACACAATTTCTCGGGAGATAATGCAATTTTTGGTTTTGCAGAAAATTGTAGGTTATTTCTTTTGGTAGGAAAGCTTCATATTTGGTTTGACGAGAAAATAAATTTGAGGGTTTTGCAGTAATAGAAGATTTATCGTTTTTTGCAGGAAAATAATTTTTTTTTGTTTTGACAGGAAAATCTGATTTTTTGGTTTTTACAGGAAGATGAAATTTTTTTGTTTTGAAAAAAAAACGTGCTTTTTCGGTTTTGGCAAGAAAACACAGGTCCTCGTGGGAAAATAAAATTTTAGGTTTTAGGTTTGACGAAAAAATAATTTTTTTGGTTTTGGCAGGAATAAGCGCTTTCTTAGTTTCATGGAAAAATAAAGTTTTTTAGTTTTGATGGGAAATGCGATTTTTCGGTTTTTGTAAGAAGAAGAAATTTCTCTCTGTTAAATTTCCAAGTTAAAGTATGTTTACAGTAACCAAAATTTAATTATTTAACTTCAACTAAAACAATATTTCAGCAGTTTAAATAGAATAATCTATTTAGTTCTAAAGCAATAGCAATGATTTTGGTATAAATGTTATTGATTATAGTTTGGCAGTTTTAGAAACATATGTTTATAAATAATATTTGATAAAAAAATAAATTTTATAATTCAAGATAATCATATTAATTAATAAATCTTTTTTTAAAATGGCATTTTGCTTCATATAATTACAAAAGAGGATTAAGTTACAATTTATTGGAGAAAATAGATTACATTTACCATTAGCATGAATGTACTAAAAAATGTATTGCTTTATTCTTACATATACATATATAATAAGTTAGCTAAACAAATTTAATAGCAAATTATAATTTCAAAAAATAAAAAATTTAAGGATATGCAATGTTTATTCAAATTAAAAACATATAAATACATAACTTAAGCTAATAAAAAAATACTCATTTACATTATAAAAAATAATTTTATTATATAAAAATTAATTCAAAATTTAGAAAAATATTCCACAGTGTAGCACGGATAAATACCTAGTAAGCATTAAAACAACTACACATTATTTAAGTTATCCATTTATTATTTGTATAGTTAAATATATTTACATTATGAACTCAAATATCATTCACAATGAAAGTTAACCAGCTTACCAAATAGGTAGAAAGTATTATAAGGTCAAATGACCGATTAAATACTTGCAATATAAATAAAAAGATGTTTTTATTATTCTTTAATTTGTAACCTAATTATTAAATATGTGAATTGGTCAAATGATGGAATAAATTTGTTGCACTTCAAATTAAGATACGTTTTTACTCTTTTAGTTAATAGTTTACAACTTAATTGGGTCCACAATATTTGTTCTTCCTTATATATAGAGATATCCATGCAATAATTTCTATCTCTTTTAATTTGGTCTTTTCTTCCAGCTCTCTCATCATATATCTTTTGTACAATATTTATTGGAAAATGGTAGAAAATTCCGCCTTACATTTAATCAATAAAAAAAGCTCTGAACGAAGTGGTGATATTTCCATCCTGCTAATGGAACATGAAACTGCATCAGTCGCGTCTCTCACTCCAATTCTTAGAAGCTTTTCATACAATGGTAAATATTCACTTAGTAGCCAATCTTTTTTTTTAATATACATATCAATTATTGCATATTTTTAAAGTTTTGAATGTAATATGTTTAATATTACCATTTGCTGAAATTTCTTTTAATGCTTATGATTCATAGTCTTTAGATTTTTTTTATTTATGTATTCTTATTCAAGATATGTGAATTATCAAAATTGTAGATATATCAATTAAAAATATTGAGTTTTTTTGTCTTAATTTCAACGATTTATTTGAAGATGCATTTCGTATAAAATTTTCTTTTCAAAAACGTAATCATCTAGGTGTATGCTGGACAACGGAGTGTTCTATGTACCCATTGTTACAAAAAATATTCATTGAATTTTAGTAAAACCAATATTTTTGTTAGAGAATAAGATTTATTGTATCTGGTGCTAACAAAAAATGCATCAAAATTTAATATGTAAGATGTATTATGTATTAGATCAGATTGTCGACAAATATAACCAAAAATACATATAGTAGTTACTTTATTTGTTTATGGGTATTTGTCAATAATTGAAAATTTACTTGGGTTTTTATTATTTGTTTAACAATTATTTTGGATTTGTTTAGATTGATAATTAATAATTTAATTGATGTACTTGATTAGTGATAAATGTGAATGCGGCAAGTAAGGCTGTATCAATAATCGAAAAACAAAAGGACATTGGACTTGTCATAGCCAACATTGAAATGCCTCACATAGATTCACATTCCTTCCACACTTCTTTGATTCACAGGGATGTTCCTCTGATATGTACGTTTATTTTAACAAATTCTTATGTTTACTGATTTTGTCATTTGCTCATCTCACAAGTTAACTTTTTTCTTTTCTTTACATGTTAATATATAGTGATTAGTTCAGAGTCAAAGACAGAAAAAATATCAAATTTTTTGACAAAAAGAGCGTGTTATTCTCTAAAGAAGCCGGTTTCAGAGAGAGACATCACAAACATCTGGCAGCATGTATTGCCTAAGAAGAACCAAGAGTTAGAGAAAATTCTCACAGCTACAGACCAAGAGGACAAGATCAACAAAAATATAAATGATATTGAAGCTTTCAGAGAGAAAATTAGGAGGCAGACAAGTCAATCATCTTTGCTAGGAAGACAACCATTCAAAGAAGTATTCACAACTTTTGAAACGTATCAGAAAAGAAGAAATGATGCAGATGCTAAATGGAAAACCAAACTAGTATGTCCCATTGAGATTGAAGATACGAGAGAGGAAGGAAATCAAACAGAGAGTAATGTTGGAAGACGCAAGATTATATGGACTCGTGAGCGTCGCATGAAATTTTTGTCTGCCATCTCCATTTTGGGCGAAAAAGGTAATATTTATATTTCACTTTTCACAATTTCTTTTTTGTTTCTATTATTATATCTTATACTTCTTTATTCTACAGATTCTCATCCCAAATCCATATTGAGGATTATGAATGACCCAAATTTGACTCACCGCCAAGTCTCTAGCCACCTTCAGGTTCGTATATATATACATTTTGATTCAACACATATATAATATTGTTAGGTGGCATTGTTATAATATTTTCATCATATAATTTATTATTTTCAGAAACATAAAGCTCAAATTGAACGAACAAATGACACATTATCGAGAGATGAATGGAGATCGGTAGATAACACATTCAAATACCCTTCAAATGAGGAAATTCCTTTCAAAGTATGCAATCCAGCAAACAATTTTGTTTCAGGTAAGTCATTGTTGTATTCCTTTAAGAAGAAACTTCTCATCATCATCTTTTGCTGAATGGAAAAGATTGTATTACTATTCTATTATTCTGTTGCATCTTTGTGTTAATATTGTTTCTTTTTTATGAAATTTCAGCTAAAAAATCTATTAAGAAGAGAGATACAGAGACGCTAAAATTTCTTTTTGGTGGGAAATTCGATTTGAGTAACAACTCATTTTTTGGTAACCTATCAGACAAGTCATCTATGGAAGTACATTGTGTTCCTTCAGCCATAAGTAACATCCAATCTACTAATGATATCAACCATACTGGCCAGGCTTCAACTAGCTTAAGTGGTAAAAATCTTCCTTTCCATTTGGGTTTACCATCAAGTGTTAGTGCATCTATAGATTTATCTCAAAAGAGTTATATTCCGCAGCATAATCCTAATCTATTACAATCATCTAGCTCTGTTCTCGAAACTCATAGGAACCAAATAAACTTATTACACCCTACAGTACTAGAAGCTCCTATTCCTCAACCTGTTCAAAACCATATGGGAGAAAGTTACAATGTTCTCTCAGACAATACCATGAACCCTTCTGAAACCAATATAAACTGCATTTCTTTAGCAAAAAGTTGTGTTCTTCCTGAAACTAGTATGAACATAATCTTTCCTAAAACCAATACAAAAAATCCTTTAGGGAAAAGTTATATTCCTTCTACAGTCCAAGAGGGTTTTATTCCATCTGAAACAAGTAATGCTGCTCTGAAAAATGTAACCCAACCTCAAACCAATATAAATCATATGGGTAATACTTCTTTTGGAAAAAGTTATTTTCTTCCTCAGGATATGGGTTTTCATGTGAATAATATGACCCATGTGAATTTGATCTCTTCTGGATTAAATGGTGGGATCTATTCTGAAACCAATATGACCATTTTTGAAAACAATATAAACCATGTGAATTTGGTTTCTTCTGGAGCAACTAATAATGTTCCTGAAAATATGAGTTCCCCTGAAGCTAATATGATCCAAGTGGATTCTAATCTTTGTGAAACAACTTATACTCCTCGAGATGGTGTAGCACCTCTTGAAATCAATAAAGAAGAGATGAGTTTGGTACAATATGATGAAGGCTATGATATTTCTGTTGAAGATATGATGTCATTTGATACTAATGTGAATGAAATGAATATTCATTCATTGATGGGAAACAATCATCATTCGGAGATAAGTACCCTTTTATTCAATACACCAATGGAAAGAAGAGATAATTCTCATGATGATCCTGAAAGCATGGAATGGATTGACAATGTACTGAATAATGATGTATAAAATTTATTTTTATATACTTTTGTTAGTGCTGAAGGAGAGTGAACTATCCAATTAATAAAAATTTGTAATGTTTTTTTTACTTGTTTTCTGTAATGCAAAATAAATAACTTAAGTTTGAAATTCTATTTATTTGAAGTAGTTAATCATTAATTTTCACATTACAAAGTAGTTAATTGTTTTTTAGCTGACCAATTCTAGTTAGTCTTATTAAATTTCACTCACAAAGATATTTTTTTAGATTAATAACTGAATATTTATTTATGTTAATTTGTTAGCCATTAATTTTTACATTACAAATTAGTCAAATGTTTATAATCGACCAAGACTAGCTTTTTTTTTTTTGGTCAACAGACTAGTTTTCCTATTAAACTTAGCCATAAACATAGTCAAAATTATTTCATTCTATCATGTTCATTATGGATAATGAAAACGCTGCTCCAACAAGGTATTCATCTCCAGAGAGATTGTCTGCAACTATCCATAATTATTGAAGAAGATTCAGATTAACCGAACTTAACTTTCGAGATTGAAGTTCCAAATTTTTAAAGTTTTCATTCATTTATATATCTCGATCTGTAATATTCTGGCTGATGCTTTCGCAAAAGGAATTCGAGCTCAAGACTTTATTTATTCAGATGTATCAAGTATGATTCCTCCCTAGTTAGCTCATGAGACTAACTTATTCCAACCACATCAATAAGACAATAATAAAATTTCTGTTCGTTGTAAAAAAAATATATTTCATTCATTCATACTTTCTCTTAAATTCAATTTTTTGTTATATACATTTATGGTATTCTTCCGTAGTGATGTGAGCTATCAAATCTAATGGAGTATCTATGACAATTTCCAAGGTTGAAATACCTGAAGAAAGAAATATTATTTTCTAAAATTACTATAATTTCCCAACAACAATTGCATATTCATATCAGAATTTATGGTTTTTTTTTTTTTTTTTTTTGACATCGAATGAATCATTCATATAACAGAGTTTGATTTGAATAGGCTCGCCTCAGCGGCTAGCCAGACCGGAACCTCATTGTTTACATGATTGAAAACTACATTACGAGAGCGAGCTCTTTTTGCAAGGGCATCGGCTCGACAATTTAAAGAGCGTAGTATATGAGAAAGAGAGAAACGTATGAAACTATCCCGATAGAACAGGAATTCTTCTAAAGCTGATGAGAGATTTGGCCAGTCATCTTCTCCATCAATGATTTTCACCAATTGTAAGCAATCAGTTTGAAGGTGTAGAGATGTGAACCCCTGATCATGTATTGTCTTCATTGCCCATATCGCAGTTTCGAGCTCAGCGTGCAGGGGTGAGGGAACGTTTTTACTCGCCGACGAGCCCAGTAGAATGCGCTTGCCATACTGTGTCAAAATAAAGCCTCCCCCAATCAGATTCCCTGCATTACTCCATGAAGCGTCAACCTGGCATATGAATTCCTCACATGCGCAATTTTCCAGATCTAAGACAGAAAGGGGGTTTACCATAACGGTGGTCTTCTCGACTAGATTGGCCCTGTTCCAGACCTCTGTTTCCTGCGTCGCTAGTTCCACTGTATCTATAGGGGATACATCTTTGTTGTTGAAGATCTTTTCAATCCTAGCCTTCCATATGTACCATATAATCCATGGAAATGCCTTCCATTGATCCTCTGTTATGTTGTGGCTGTGGGTTCGAAAAAGCAGGAAATCCATGTTGGAAAACAGCGCATCGCACGGAAATACCTCCGGAACAAAAGGAATAGGGGACAGAGCCCATGTTTGCAGAGCCGGGGGACACTCGAAGAATATATGGTTGATAGACTCATCGTCGCTGCCACACCTTGGGCAAGACCTATCTATACTGCAATGACGATCAACTAAACGACTTCCGGAAGCAATGCAACCTGTCAGGATTTGCCAAAGTGTGTGTTTAATCTTACGGGATGTTTTTAATTGCCAGACCCGGCTTTGTAGCGCTGTCGTACTTAGTTCTACCAGCCCCTGGGGGTTCTCTTTTTCCGCCATGTCACACGCTAGTTCATAACCAGATCGAACAGAGTAGTTCCCCGACTTTGTATAGCTCCAACAGTAATCATCCATTTCAAACTTACGCAATGGTTTAAGGTCCAGGATTATCTCGGCGTCTTCAGGAGTTATCAATGAGCGAACTAGATCATCTTTCCAGGTTTTGGAATCAAAGTCTATTAAATGGTTAACGTAAAGGTTAGGGTCTCGTACATTACTCAGACTCGCGGCAGGTCGTGCCGGAATAGAAGGAATCCATGGATCACTCCAAACCTTGGTATTGAAACCAGACTTTATTGTTTTCCTTAGGCCTGGTTGGAGAAGATGTTTGGCTGCCATGATAATTTTCCAGCCATATGATGGCGCATTTGATTTCTCCACTTCTAAAGGGTTTGAGTAGCGATAGTATCTACCTTTTAATACTCGGGCCAGTAGAGAGGATGGATATCGGATTAACCTCCACAGTTGTTCGCAAGTAAGGCAAGGTTAAAGAGTTTTAAGTCTTTAAACCCCAACCCTCCTTTGCTTTGAGGGATGCGGATTTTGTCCCACGCAAGCCAATGAAGGCCGCGATTGTTAGACTTCTTGCTCCACCAGAAACGAGAGATAGCCGCTCTCATTTTGGTAATAACGTCCTGTGGAAGGAGGTAAGTAGACATGACAAAGGTCGGGATAGCTTGCGCCACCGATTTGAGTAGTACTTCCTTTCCTCCTTTAGATAGTAGCTTCGAAGACCATGAGTTTACTCTGTTGTTTAACCTTTCCTGGATATAAGAGAAAACTTGTTTCTTTGAGCCGCATATCTTCTCAGGTAACCCCAGATATATCCCCATTCCTCCCTCTGTAGTAATCCCCAGCGCCTGTTTTAGGGCTTGTTTCCCTTCTTGCTTAACTTTGCTACCAAAGAAGATCGATGACTTCGTGTAGTTTAGCCACTGACCTGGGGCTTGGCCATATAAGTTGATAATCTTCAGCAGTTCAGTGCATTGTCCGGTTCTCTGCTCGACAAAAGAAAATGCTGTCATCAGCAAACAAGAGGTGGGATATCGGTGGGCTTGCTTTGGCAATCCGTAGCCCTGTGATTCGTCCTTCGTCTTCTGCCCCTTTCATTTAGCTAATCAAAGCCTCCGTGCATATGATAAAAAGAAAGGGAGATAGCGGGTCTCCTTGTCTGATGCCACGGGATGGGTAAATCTTTCCTTTAGGAGCTCCGTTGATTAAGACTTGATATGAGACCGAAGATACACACTTCATGATCCAGCTGATCTATTTAGCATCAAAGCTCAGTTTTATCATAAGTGTTTGGAGAAAGCCCTATTATACCCGATCATAAGCCTTGCTCATATCTGTTTTTATCGCGACAAATTTTGAATTGCATATTGGGTTTCCCCGTAAGGCATGAAAGGCTTCCTGCGCAATTAAAATATTATCGGATATAAGTCTCTTGGCAACAAAGGCCGATTGAGTCTCAGATATCAAGGACGGAAGAACTCTCTTTAATCTTCTGCATAGGACTTTGGAGATGACTTTATAACATACGTTGCATAGGCTTATTGAACGAAACTCTGTCATCTCTCGGGGTCTTTCATTCTTCGGTATTAGACAGATATTTGTCTGGTTGAGTCTGGGATCAAGGCTACCATTCTCGAAGAAATCTTTAACGATATGGATTATGTCCTTCTCCACCGTACTCCAGCAATGTTGGTAAAATAATCCAGTCATTCCGTCAGGTCCCGGCGCCTTTACTGGGTTGATATCGAAAACCGCTTGTTTTATCTCGCTATCAGAGGGGATGCGCGTGAGCATTTTGTTCATATCTGCGGTGACCTTCGCGGTAACATACCGGAGAGATTCAGAGTAATCGGTTGCATTGGAGGAGGCAAAAATGTTTTGAAAGTATTCCGTCGCGACTTGTTCTATACCCTCCTCTGTTTCAATCCATGTTCCGGACGCCGATTCGATCTTTGTAATTCAGTTTCTGGCTCGTCTTTGTTTTGTAGTTGCATGGAAAAACTTAGTGTTCCGGTCTCCCTCCTTCAGCCAATTTGCTCTGCTTTTTTGTTTCCAATACAGCTCCTCATCACGGTAAGTGGAACAGAGCATCCATTTGAGATTTAGCACATCCTCCGCCGACATATTATCGTCAAGTTGAGCCTTCTCTAGTTGTTCTTTGATCGTCTCGATTCTTTTCGCCGAGTTTGTCGGATTATTCTTCCTCCACTTGGATATGGCTTTCCTGCATACTCCAGTTTTTGAAAAAAGATCATTTTGTCCTGGGGGACTCGAAGATTCCCAGCTCTCTTTCACAACGTCGTGGAAGCCTTTCTTATCGAGCCATCTCTTGTCGAATCGGAAATTACGTTGGATTTGGATCACTCGTGATTGTATCCTTGTGAGTACCGGTCTGTGATCTGAACCCTATAACTTCAAATACTCCACATTTGTGTGGGAAAACAAAGCATGCCATTCCTCATTTCCTATCGCTCTATCCAGACGGCATTGGACACGTCCAGTACGTCTATATCCAAGCCACGATAGGGAGTTCCCTTTGTATGGAAATTCGATCATTCCACAGGCATCCAACATATGTTTGAAGGCTAAGAAGGAGGATTCAGCACGTCTCCTGCCCCCTTTCTTTTCGTGGTTACCAGTTATCTCATTAAAATCACCACTTATGAACCATGCTCCATCACGTTGAAGACTGAGGGATATCAATTTCTCCCAGACCACCCCACGGCATTCAGTAACCGGATCTCCGTATACGAAGGTCATATAAACCTTATGCCCGCCTCTATGTCAATCAAGCAGTCGTTGGAGAATAAAATACGAACAGAAAAACAATCCATATAGTACAAAGCTAAACCTCCGCTTCGCCCTACTGGCTCAACGGTAAATAGTTTATCATAACCAAAAGAAGTCTGAAAATCTTGCATAACCAAAAGGGAATTTTTTGTTTCAGAAAGAAAAAGAAAACAGGGACGGAAATATCGGTACAGTTCCTTTATATGTTGTTTGGTCAGATAAGCTCCTGCACCTTAACAATTCCATGATATTGTATTCATATCTTCTTACTGGGTGGTTTCTGGGACACCACCGAACCTGAAACAGCAGAGCTACTCTTAGGAAGAGCAGTGGGAAACACCTCCATACGAGGGACTTGATTAGCAATGGTACCTGACGAATGCGCATTCAGGTTACTCCGTTTCTTTGGGGAAGCTTTACCGCCAATGGTCTTAAGCTTCTTTGATGCTTGAGCTCTAGCAAACTCTTGTTTCTTTGGGGAGTTTTTCCGGGCTGTGGATTTGGAGACCACCTTCGAAGCTTTTTCCCCTATATTTTTACGATAGTATGTCTTTGTCGTCTCCATAGCCGGAGGAGCAGTGGCATTCTTCACTTGTGTTTCTGGTACAAAGGTGGTCTGAGTTTCGTTTGTTTCATAGTCCTCCTTATCACCCTCCGGGGAGAGCTGTGAGATAGCATCAATCATCTCAGCATTTTCTTCAAGATCGTCAATAAGCAAGTCATCGTTTTCGATCATCTCCTCATCCATTTCCATTTCCGCTAGCTCCTCCATTTCTCGTCTTAGTCTCTGCTCAAATTCCGCGTCCGCTTTTTCCCTTTCAGTATTCCTCTCTTCTGGGGGTTTATTAGTTGCCTCGACTGTTACTCTGTTTTCATCCCTCAGGGGTACTGTACTTTTTTGTCCTCGGTCCATAGTACTGTCTCCAATATTAGAGTCTGAATAGCCTGTTATCCTCGCATCATCTCCAGTTATCCTCGCATCATCTCTAGTAAACTCTCTATGGGTTCTCCCATTCTCCTCTGTTTCCCCCTTTGTTCTCGTACGCATAGTGTTTTTGTGGAGGACATGTTTTCCATCACCGGTGTTTTGCCCTTCAGTTTACGTTTCCTTTCCTCTTCCGTCTCTCTATGCTGGATCTCTGGGCGCCTATGCCTTGATAATATCAGGTTGCTCTGTTGCTCTGAGATATCTGAGATAGTTCTCTGGGAGTCTGAAGGCGAGATATATTCACCCTGGTCTCGTGTCCTAGGCCTGAGTTCCTTTCTCTCTCTGTTGTGCTCCATATCCTTTTCTCCACTTCCCTCTCCTTCCTCGTTGGTCTCCATTCCATTCTGGGTTTAGATAGAGTACTGTATCGACTGTTGTTTTTAAGAGTGGAATATTCTTTTCGGTTTTTATGAGTAAGTTATTCTTTTGTCCACAAGATACATCATTATATTTCAATGCAATCGATCGTTCACATCATTAGAAAAAGACAATATCAGAATATAAAAGGTGTGAATTGAAGAGAAAATATAAATAGATGAAATTTTTTTTTTAACAATGATTGTGAGTGGATGTATTACATCGATCAACTACTAAACGAGTTTGTATATAATATATTCAATTGTATCATTTTGTTTGATATTCTATTGATAGACCATATCATACTTTTATAATTTTAGGATGCAAATCTGGTGAAATTGAAAAATGTTTCAACTCATTCCACCAATAAAAGATTGAAAATATGTTTAACGCATATCTTGACTATTTTGGAAAAAAATTCACTACTCTAGAATTCAACTCATTTTTTCTTTATTAACTATTTTACTGATACTTTTAATAACAACCATGCATCCTTAGTTCAATTTATAGTGTATGATATGGTCTTCATTAAACAAACTGGACTTTGGTAGACCGATTCCGTAGACCTAAAAAGAATGTGTTGTAAACGCATCCATATACTTTATGATCGTAAGATGTGTTGGCGTGCTCCTTGTATCAAACATCACATCTATTTGCCCTCACATAGTTACACAAGATTTTTGTTTGTTACTAAAATACATCCAAAACTATAGAGTAATTTATTTACTTATTATCAAAGTAATAAAAGTAAATTAACACAAATTCTAAAAGGTTTGGCTTGAAAACATCAAAAAAAGAGAAAGAAATATGTAAGATTTCTTTATTCAAGGTATATATGGCAATAAAAATGTAATGAAAAAATCTTACTCTTCTTTTTCTCAAAAATCAAGAAAAGATAATATTCTTTCCATTATAAAAAACACACAACAAGCTTTTTTTTTTTTTTTACTTTTTGATGATTATAAAATTATAAATAAAAATCTAGTAGATGCGACATCAAAAGGTATAATATAATCTCATTCCAACTTTCATTTGATTTTGTAACCTATAAGTTTTATTATTGATGGTCTTTTCTAAATATAAATCGATCACACTATAGAATTATAATTTCAATGAAACAAAATTTGAAAATTTAGTAAGTATTAAAGATAACTTGAAAAGCAAGATTTGTGTCTTCCGTACCATATATAGTTTGAGCTATTAAAACCCATCTATGAAATGAAGTCTGTAAACAAGAGCACAATAATCTTTTTTTGTTAAAGGGCCTAAAAGCACAATAATCTTATCAAATCCATCCACTATTTGAGAATATCAAAGTTAAAGATTTTTTTTTCAAGTTATCTCCAACAAAAGCATTGTGCTATTAAATCCATTAAATCTATTGAAAAATATAATGTTGACAACAAAAGCACACAATAACACTATTAAATCTATTGAAAAATATAATGTAACCACTTAGTTCTGAAAATATTTTTGGATCCAAAAATACAAACTAAAATCGTTATAAAAAACGGTTCGAATTAGATTTGGTTCTTGACAAATACACAAACAGATCTTCATGCTGAGACATTTTTTATATCCAAAATACTTGAGAATTGAACGTATACCCAAAAATGTCTGAACACAAAATATGCAAAACCTGATTTTTACGGGTATTTTCATGTGCTTTCTAAAACTTTTGGGTATTTTTAGATATTTTCTAAAACTTTCTAAATCAGTTATTAAATTCTCACTTAGAACAATTTCACTCGACGTAGGTTAGTTTTTGAATATTCGATGAATTAGTTTTTTGGATTGGAGTAATTCATCTGTAAGATTTCTTGGATCATCTGTATTTGCAGACTAGTTGTGTTGGCTTGTTCCTTAGAAAATCAGTAATTACACAGATCGTAATATATGTTTTAAAAATGGTGAAAATCAACTTGATATTATATTATTACGTCATTCATATATGGAAAAAAAAAACGAAAAACAAAAGAAACAGATTTTTTTCTTTTCTTGGAAAGCTTACTTTTTTTTTTTTTGACTTCTCCTGGAAAACCCTTTGTTTCGATTTCCTTCTCGATCTTCTTCCCTTTGTCCCTCTTATTTGGTGAGCTTTAGATCCTTGTTTCCGGTTCTTTTGTTCATCGCCTCTTTCCTAGGGTAAAGAATTCGTGTTGTTCTAGGTCCCGCCGCTGTTGGATCTGCAAATTACGTTTGAATTTCCCAGAAATTGCGGCGAATTTGAGACTTTTGTTGGCTGAAAGTAAGTAACGAGGAAGATTGTGTGTGTGTGAGAGAGAGAGAGAGAGAGGAAAAGAAAAAGTTGGGAAGATGAGTTCGAAAAAGATGGAAGGGTCGTCTTCTCCGGCGATTCGACGGGACCCGTACGAGGTACTTTCTGTATCAAGGGACGCGAATGATCAAGAAATCAAATCCGCTTACAGAAAATTAGCTCTAAAGTAAGCTTCGAATCATAATAATAGCAAAAGGGTTGTTTTTGTTTATTAACATCTGAGTTTTCTTCTCAGAAAGATCTAAGCTTTTGTTGCCTTGAGTGAAATTTCTTAGGGTTACTCATTACTAGTTTAGATACCGATTAATGCATTAACCCACTTGAATTTGATATGTTAAGAATCTATCTTAATGCTTTTTTTTTTTTTACTTTTGTTGAAGATCCTTATTCTTTCTTCTATCCATCTATTGCATGATCCTAATACCTTTTCTTTTGTTGGATGATGCTTTAACATTGTAACTGACTTTATTGGATTCAAAACAATTGATAGGTATCATCCGGACAAGAATGCAAACAATCCTGATGCGTCTGAGCTTTTCAAGGAAGTTGCATATTCCTATAGCATTTTGTCTGATCCTGAAAAGAGAAGGCAATATGACAATGCAGGATTTGAGGTGATGCTTGCTTCACATTTTACTAATGTTCATTATAGAATCATGTATGCTCATAAGTAGCTTCTTATTGAAATCATCCAAGAAGAGAAACATGGATCATTATCCTGTTGTCACTTTGTCAAGTGCACTCTTGTAGCTATAATAAGAGTTGTTTCATGGTATTTAGGCCCTTGACGCTGAGGGAATGGACATGGAAATTGACTTGTCGAACCTCGGAACCGTAAATACAATGTTTGCTGCATTATTCAGGTGAAGCTGGTTACCCTTTTTTGTTTTTTGTTTTTTTGTTTTTTCTTTCTGGAGCTCTTAAGAAAGCTCTCTGTTAACTTTTCGTTCTCTTCACAACTTGTCAACATTCAGCAAACTAGGCGTGCCTATCAAGACTACTGTGTCTGCCAATGTTCTTGAAGAGGCTATGAATGGAACTGTTACTGTTAGGCCACTTCCTATTGGAACATCAGTTAGTGGGAAGGTGTGACCACTGACCTCAGATTCCATAACTTTTTTCTTATCTCATTTCCTTTTTTATAATTGGAATTGAGGTTATATCTCATATCAGGTTGATAAGCAATGTGCACATTTTTTTGGAGTTACGATAAGTGAACAACAAGCTGAGTCAGGGGTGGTTGTTAGAGTAACATCAACAGCACAAAGTAAATTTAAGGTATTCTCGTAATGCCATTACTGTCTATCCTGATAGTGTTTGCTGTATTCAGTGCATGCTCCATGCCTTTGCCACTAACTTCTAAGTTGTTTTCACTTAATTAAATCTATGACTAACTTCTAAATCTGTCTATCTGCAGTTACTTTATTTTGAGCAAGATTCAAGTGGCGGCTATGGATTGGCCTTACAGGTGCAAATACTATTGCTCTTAGTATAAAAGAAAAGGTTCTTTAAGAAAGGTTTCCATTTTTCTCATGGTGATTCCATAACAACATGTGGCTTCTCTTTGTTCTTGCAGGAAGAGAGCGAGAAAACAGGCAAGGTGACATCAGCTGGAATGTATTTCTTACATTTTCAAGTATACCGAATGGATTCTACTGTCAATGCGGTATGCAAGCTCTGAGCTTTTATTCCTTTATAGTGATCTGACATCTTAGATTATCGAGAGGTATTAAATCAATCTACATTGTGGATATTGTGCAGTTAGCTGCAGCCAAGGACCCAGAATCTGCGTTCTTCAAGCGATTAGAAGGTCTTCAGCCTTGTGAGGTTTCAGAACTGAAAGCTGGCACTCATATATTTGCAGTTTATGGTATGAATAATCACTCTTTTTACGATAGCTAGAGCATTTTGTGAGACCTTCGTTTAACTTGTCTCTAGTTACTTTTTTCAGGTGACAATTTCTTCAAGACTGCATCTTACACGATTGAGGCACTCTGTGCCAAGACCTACGAGGACACAACAGAGAAGTTGAAGGAGATTGAAGCTCAGATTTTAAGAAAGAGAAACGAGTTGCGGCAGTTTGAAACAGAGTACCGAAAAGTAATTTGTATACAATTGAGAGATCTCTTTCATCATTCAGTGTAGACATGTAACCTGATGACTTGTTATGTTCTTTTGCAAGGCTTTGGCGCGCTTTCAAGAAGTCACCAACAGATATACTCAGGAGAAGCAAACTGTACGTTGACGAATCTCTTTGATCTATGTTACAGTTAAATTTCACTGCGATTCTGCAGATACGAACAGAGAGTTCGTGCAGATATTATGCGACATTACTTTTCATCATTCTAAAAGTTTATTTTGATTTGGCTATTTTTGATGGTGGTGAAGGTGGATGAACTACTAAAGCAACGTGATACAATCCATTCGTCCTTCTCTGCCGTGAAGACACCAAGCGGCAACAACTTGAGCAATGGGAGTAGCAGCAAAGCTCAGGGAGAGGAATCGAAAGGCGACGGGGATAGTCCCGGAGAAGAAGGATCAGAGAGCAGAGACAAATCAAAGAGGAAATGGTTCAACTTGAACTTAAAAGGATCTTCTGATAAGAAGCTTGGTTGAGCGAAAAATGGGGATTTGTTTGTTGGGTCATTGGTTCATTCATTAGACAGAACCGAGTCGGTGACTGTTCTGTCACTGGGCTGTGTATGGTTTGTGTAGGCATATATATGTTGATGGTTTGAAAGAAAGATGCAAAAGCTCAGAACTTGAAGAGTGGTTTTTGAAATGTATGCATATGGTTTCTTCATTGATTCATTGTTTGTTATATTTATGGTTAACAGAGATTGTCATTGTTTCAAAAATACCCACTTCTCTATGGACCTTACTGTAAATCATGATGTAATGTTATCCAAAACCGGCTTAGCACAAGCGGTAATGGAGTTTCTAGCGAGTTGAAGGGTGTTATTGTTACTTTCTCTGGTGGAGGGGGAGATTTTGCAAAAGATTGAAAGTTCGAGGTTTTGTTTTGCAATTTTCCGTAGAAACAAAAAAAAACACAGGAAAAAAATCGGGCTTGTTTCGTGTTCTTACACAATCATCTTCTTCTCTCGTCACTCTTATTTGATGAGCTTAGATCCTAGTTTCTGGATTTAATTGTTTCATCGTTTCTTTCGTGGTTTGAATTTGAATTCCACACGGTGTTCTGAAATTCGTGCAATTCCTCGGTCGAAGATCATTGTCGTAGGTCCGATTGGTGTTTGATTTGCAAATCCCGTTCGAATTTGAGACATTTTTTTTTATTGAATTAAGTCGGCGAAGATTTTTTCGGAGGAGGGAAAATAAAAAAGTTGGGAAGATGAGTACGAAGAAGGTGGAAGGGTCGTCTTCTCCGGCGATTCGACGGGACCCGTACGAGGTACTTTCCGTATCGAAGGATGCGAATGATCAGGAAATCAAATCCGCTTACAGAAAACTAGCTCTAAAGTAAGCTTCTGCTCAAATTTCACATTGTAATAATAGCAAATGTTTTTTTTTTTAATGTAAGATTTAAGCTCAACATCATGCAATTTGTATGAAACTTAGGTTGCTACTAGATTTTTTTAGGAATTTCATGTTTGTATACCCGTAATGGCTTACGAGTTAAGAGGCATTGTAATTATCTTTAGGTGGTTTTGTAGCAGTGTTGAATGATAGCTCAAAAACTATACTTGAGAGCTAAGTTTTAGACAGAAGGATTTGATGGTTGTGGATTGGTGTAGGATCTTGGTTTTGGTATTTGGTTGAGCGTTAGAGACTTGTCTCGTTGTTCTTTGGTGAATAATCTATCTTATACTTTGATCAGATCCTTCTTTTGTTCCTCTGTTCATCTGTTGTGTCCTTATGCCTTTCTTCTTGGATGGTTCTTTACGTTTAATTTCCTTTGATGGGTTAAAAAACAATGGATAGGTATCATCCAGACAAGAATGCCAACAATCCCGAAGCTTCTGAGCTTTTCAAGGAAGTTGCATTTTCCTATAGCATTTTGTCTGACCCGGAAAAGAGAAGGCAATATGACAATGCAGGATTTGAGGTGACAGTTTTAAGCCCACTCTCACTTAATGTCCTCATATAAGTGTGTCTTGTCTTGTCTCATTGTACCTCTATAGCTTATTAAAAATCATCCAATAAGTGAATATATTGACCATTTCTTGGTTCTTGTCCTGTTGTCACTTTGTCAAGTGCACTCTTGTGGCTATAATAAGAGTTGTTTCATGATATTTAGGCCCTCGACGCTGATGGAATGGACATGGAAATCGACTTGTCGAACCTCGGAACCGTAAATACAATGTTTGCTGCATTATTCAGGTCCAAGACTTGAGCTCTTAAGAAAGCAAACCTGTTTTGAATCCTCTCTGTTAACTTTTCGTTCACTTCATAACTTGTCAACATTCAGCAAACTAGGCGTGCCTATCAAGACTACTGTATCTGCCAATGTTCTTGAAGAGGCTATGAATGGAACTGTTACTGTTAGGCCACTTCCTATTGGAACATCAGTTAGTGGGAAGGTGTGAAATCAGAGATTACATGACTTTCTTCTTACCTCTGTGTCTTGTGTACTTGGAACTGAAGTTTTATAATATCTCATATCAGGTAGAGAAGCAATACGCTCACTTTTTTGGAGTTACGATTAGTGAACAACAAGCTGAGTCAGGGGTGGTTGTTCGAGTAACATCAACAGCACAAAGTAAATTCAAAGTATACTCGCAATGCCCCTTTGTTACAATCTTGAGAGTTGTTTCCATGGTTTCATGTACTTAACGCCATGACTAACTTTCATATCTGCTTATCTCTAGTTACTTTATTTCGAGCAAGAATCAAGTGGCGGCTATGGATTGGCCTTACAGGTACAAAATAATATCTCTCTTAGTATTACTTAAGTGGTCCTTAGATGAGAGAAAAGGCTTAGATGAAACTTTCACTCGTTCTTGAAAATGGTTTGCATCTTTCTTTAACAGCATCGTGGTTCTATTTGTTCTTGCAGGAAGAGAGTGAGAAAACAGGCAAGGTGACGTCAGCTGGAATGTATTTCCTACATTTCCAAGTATACAGAATGGATTCTACAGTCAATGCGGTATGCAAGTTCTGAGCTTTTTTTTTCTTTTCATAATTATCTGACATCTTAGAATATGAAGACGTATAAAAGCAATAACATTGTTGTTTATTGTGCAGTTAGCTGCAGCCAAGGACCCTGAATCTGCGTTCTTCAAGCGATTGGAAGGTCTTCAACCTTGTGAGGTTTCGGAACTGAAATCTGGCACTCATATATTTGCAGTTTATGGTATGAATTGTTATTCCATTTTTTTTTTGCTATATAGCTAGAACTTCTCTGAGACCTTGGTTTAACTTGTCTCTAGTTACTTTTTTTCAGGTGACAATTTCTTTAAGACTGCATCTTACACGATTGAGGCACTCTGTGCAAAGACCTATGAGGATACAACAGAGAAGCTGAAGGAGATTGAAGCTCAGATTTTAAGAAAAAGAAACGAGCTGCGGCAGTTCGAGACAGAGTACCGAAAAGTAATTTTTCTAACTATTGAGTTTAGTCAATAGTTATAGAGACATGTAACCTGATGATTTGCTATATTTGTTTGTAGGCTTTGGCGCGCTTTCAAGAAGTTACCAACAGATACACACAGGAGAAGCAAACTGTATGTTGATGAATCTCTTGTCAGATTATAACTTTGATCTTTATTGCATTTTTTCCTGCTGTGATTCACACACAATGTTTCTAAAGACAATATGCATTTGATAGGCAATAGAATATGAGATGTCTGATACACGGATGAACAATCAGGAGATCCCTTTAACAAATTTCTTGATTACTCTAAGTTTGCTCTTTGTTCATTGTTGCTTACAGAGTAGTTTGACAAATGAATCGAGTTCCTTAAATCGATTCTAGTGTTCTCTTGTTTGATCTTAACATCATCCTTGTTCTTCTGTTAACTTTTTGCTAATTTGTTGTCTCCTTTGGATGATGGTGAAGGTGGATGAGCTGCTAAAGCAACGGGATACAATACATTCGTCCTTCTCTGTCGTGAAAACACCAAGCGGCGGCAACAACTTGAGCAATGGGAGTAGCAGCAAAGCTCAGGGAGAGGAATCAAAAGGCGATGGGGATAGCGCGGGAGAAGAAGGTGGATCAGAGAGTAAAGACAAATCCAAGAGGAAATGGTTCAACATGAACATGAAAGGATCATCTGATAAGAAGCTTGGTTGACCAAAACGCGGTATCCTCTATAGGCAAATCTGTTTATTGGAATGATCCATAAGCTCTTTTATTAAAGAAGCAAGTATTGTTATGGTGACAGATTCAATAGGAAAGTTTTTCAACTTTGGTTGTTTCAGCTCAGCTCTACTCTTTTGATATATATGCAACATTGATTCATTGTGTAAGTTTTTGAAGTAACCTCTTCTCTTTAGGCCATATATCTTAGAACAGGTTATAGGTCTACAATTTTATGAAGAAAAAAAAAAGAACTACAATAACATGATGCATATTGCATACATTGGAATATTTTAGAATACAGTGTTTGGTTGTTGTTGTAGTGATGGGACAAATGGATTGATGGTGAAATATTCAGTTTTATTGAATTAAAAAATATGGGGAAATTCTATATTCTTAAGTCTAGTAGAGAGGAAAGTCAGGGGGAAAGTGTTTTATATGATTCTCAGACTTTAGTCTTTATGCGTATGCATGAAGTTACTTACCTATTTCTTATTGAAAATATATTTTTATAATTATTGTAATGTCACATGACTAGATTTCAACTAAACATCGTCAATATGTAGAAAGAAAGTCATGTTAGAGTATATAAAGACCAAGGCAGAAAGTACAACGCTTATTGGGTTATGTTTGTCAATATAAAAAGGCCGACACAATAAAAATGATAAACTTGTTTTGACTTTTGAAGCCATTATATTTGCTTTACAATTTTGAATTTGATTGGTGAGCAAGTATTTTTTTTGTAGCGCAGTAGAAGGTTTTCTTACTGGTTATGGCAAAAAAAAAAACGATTAAAAAAAAAAACAGTTCAAAAATATTTCTGTACTATTGGTAACATTTGAGTGGTCTAATAATAACATAAAATAAATTAACCAGCTTCTTATTTTTTGGCGTCTTTCAAAATTGCCTTGTTTTGGTGGTGGTCTGTGTGAAAAAAAAAATCACACAAGTTTGGTAAAAAGTCACACAAGGAGAGGGGAAGGGGAGGAGAAGAGATGAGATGAGTGGAGGTGAGTAGAAGAGAGGAAAGAAGAGTATAGTATAATATAGTAGTGTAATCTATTAAACAAAGGGGTAGTATATATTGTAGAATATATAAGGAATATAATAGCTCCTATATTGGTATGGTTACTTTCCAAATTATAGGTATTTATATGGTTATATCAGCCAATTTTCCAAACTAAGGGTTTTTTTGCTATCTAACCATATTTACAAAACAATAGAAGAATATAGTCATGCTATTTGACAAATTAGTAAACTAACCATGGCCCATAATCAATTATCGAAAATAACCTTGTACTATATTATATTATATACTATACTATATATAACTAGGTAATAATCCGCACCATGTGCGGGGTGAAATAATTATTATTTATTTAATATAGTATAATTTTAAAATTATATAAAAAAACACAATTGATTTTATATGAGTTGTTTATAACATTATGCTGTAATATTGACAAAATATTTTTTTTGTTTATGTTATGAATTTTAGGGTAATTTAATTCTAATGTAAATTAGTTTAAAAATTAAATATATATTCACAATCTGGATAGAAATAAGAAGTCTCTCTTTATACTTTCTATAACCTATGATTAATAACATGATCTTAAAATTAAAAAAAAATAGAGAGAGTATATTTTGATTAAATTATTAAGTATCTAATAAAAAATTTACTACTTCCTCTGTTTCATAATATTAATTTTTTAAGGTTTTGTTTTGTTTTACAATATAGTTGTTTTTTATATTTTTTACTATTTCCAATGAATACTATGTGACCAATTATATTTTTTAATTTTTTATAATTAGTTGAATTATATTTAATTTATATACTAAATGATTACTTTTTTTAAAGAAAAGTTGCTTTTTAATCTTTGTGCTTTAATACAAATAACTTATATTTTGAAATAGAGAGTATTAAAATTGTAAAAATAAAATTTGATTTTAAAATTATATAATCGACTTCAATATTTCTAATGCGAATGTAAATGCATATTTAGATTAACCCGCAAAAATTATAATCATAAGAATATTAACTTTTAAGAAAAGAAGATTACTGTAAAATTTATATTAAATACTAAATATACATAATGATTATAAAAATAAATTATCTTTTTATTATTTTTAATAAATTATCTAAAATTGTATATAACTGAGTCAATGCTTATCCATTCTTAATTTTTTGATTTAATAAAAATATTTTTAGTATCAAAAAGTTTAATAAATTATTATATAATATTCAAAAATATTTTAATTTTTTACCAAGTTATTTTGTTGTATAAATTAAAAATAATAATATCTATTAAATTAAGCTTCCTATTTTTTTTTATCATTTATGTATTTTTATATTGATTTATGAATCATCTATCTATACATCTTTATTTTCAATTTTAGTCTTTTAAAACATACTTTTATTTATTAATCATTTAAGTAATTTATATTTTTTTATGAAATTCGAATTATAACACAGAAAAATATATATATATATATATATATATATATATTACTATATGAATGATGTGATGATTTATTTTTCCATAAAAATAAGAGATAAAATATAGTATTTAAAGAAATAATTAATATGATATATTTTTGGTAAGAAATAGGAAAAGAGAATATCTTGATGAATCATCAATATAATTGATATAAACTAATGTATAACCAAATTAATGTGAGTGGCATAACATGTAATTAATCTAGTAACATAAGTCTATTTATATAACTTTGCTGAAAATAATTCTGGTGATAACACATCAGCAAAATGGCACCACTGTAATATTTTACAAAATTAAGGTTATTCTTTAAAAATGCTTCTCTTTTAATATGTAGGGGATTTTATGGAATAGTACTTTATTTGATATAGTATATACAGAAAAGAGAGCAAGGAAGAGAAAAAGACGAGGAAAGAGGAGGCAAGGAGGAGGGGAGAAGAGGAAAGAGGAGGCAAGGAGAGGGGAAGGGGAGGAGGAGAGATGAGATGAGTGGAGGTGAGCAGAAGAGAGGAAAAAAGAGTATAGTATAGTATAGTAGTGTAATCTATTAAACGAAGGGGTTTTTAGTATATATTATAGAATATATAAGGAATATAATAGCTCCTATAATGGTATGGTTACTTTCTAAATTATAGATATCAGCCAATTTCCCAAACTAAAGGTTTTTTTGCTATCTAACCATATTTACAAAACAATAGAAGAATATAGTCATGCTATTTGACAAATTAGTAAAGTAATCATGACCCACAATCAATTATCGAAAATAACCTTGTACTATATTATACTATATACTATACTATATATAGTTTTATGGAATAGTACTTTATTTGATATAGTATATACAGAAAAGAGAGCAAGAAAGAGAAAAAGACGAGAGAGGAGGGGAGAAGAGGAAAGAGGAGGCAAGGAGAGGGGAAGGGGAGGAGGAGAGATGAGATGAGTGGAGGTGAGCAGAAGAGAGGAAAAAAGAGTATAGTATAGCATAGTAGTGTAATCTATTAAACGAAGGGGTTTTTAGTATATATTGTAGAATATATAAGGAATATAATAGTTCCTATATTGGTATGGTTACTTTCCAAATTATAGGTATTTATATGGCTATACCAGTCAATTTCCCAAACTAAAACCCCAAGAACACCGGAAAAAAAAAAAACCTAAAGAACATGTTTGCGTTTCACGTTACAAGTCAATCCAAAGCCCATAATAGCTATACCGATTATTCACGGGGTTGTGTTTACGAATAAAGAATAACTATGAACAAATGATTGAGACCAAATTTGAATGGACTAAATCCTTAGTTAGATGATTGCAAAAACATTTCTCTGTTTAAATGCGAATATGTGATCGTGAATAAAAAGTTTTAATTGGAAAAATTAAGTAGTGGTGGTTTAGTAGTTCTCACTTGAAAAAGAATTGTCTTGTTGGTTTAGACCAATGATCAATTCTCCTTAAAGATGGAATTGTTAAACTATTTCTACTTGATCACAGATATGAATTCTTGTTTTCGACTCAATTAAATACTTAAAAAATGGCCTATTCATACGCTACACTTCCCACAAAGATTACTTTGAGCTCTTTTATAGGTTTGAGATTTCATGAACTATCAAAAACAGAAAAATTAATTTAAACGGAAAAAATAATCAAAATTCTGAGAACTGAAAGTATTAATCAATTTCAAATTAGTGATAAAATTCGTCTGACATACGCTTAATACTTGTTAATCTTACACAAAAGCTATGAAATTATTTTTTTAACAAACAAATTAAACAAAATTTCAGCTTTACATGGTTGCTTCCTCAATGTGAGGCAGAAAATGTGGCTGCTTATTTTAACCAAAAAAATAATAATAATAATACATGTGGTTGCTTATATTTGTAAATCACGGATCAATGGCACCGTTTTGTCTTTGGCGACTTTCAAAATTGCCTCGTTTTGGTGGTGTGTGTGAAAAAAAAAATCACACAAGTTTGGTAAAAAATAAAAACTAAAACCCAAAGCCCATAATAGCCATACCGGTTATTCAGGGGGGATTGTGTTTACGTATAAAGAATAAATATGAACAAATGATTGAGACCAAATTTGAATGGATTAAATCTTTAGTTAGATGATTGCAAAAACATTTCTCTGTTTAAATGTGAATATGTGATCGTAAATAAAAAGTTTTAAATGGGAGAATCAAGTGGTAGTGGTTTAGTAGTTCTCACTTGAAGAGGAATTGTCTTGTTGATCTAGGCTAATGATCGATTCTCTTTAAATGTGGAATTGTTAAACTATTTTTATTTAGCCATACAGATATAAATCTTTGTTTTCGACTCATTTAAATACTTAAAGAAATGGTGCGCTACATTTTCCACAAAAATTAGTTTGGACCCTTTTATAAGTTTAGGATTTTTTGAACTATCAAAAAAAAAATTAAAACGGAAAAAATAATCAAATTCTGAGAACTGAAGGTATTAATCAGTTTCAAATTAGTGATAAAATTCGTCTGAAATACGCTTA